GACATCTTAATTCTGGTCACATGATGTTTTGCTAGTCTGAATTGTGGTTATTAAGTGAGGACTTAATGTACTGATTTACATAAGGGAAGGTTTCAGTCTCATAATCTTTGCCAGGATGTGGGGATTCTGCTGGGAGATTTAAAAAAAACATTTAAAGAAAGATTTGGAACAATTCATTGAGGTGGCGCAGCAGTTAGAGTGCAGTACTGCAGGCCACTTTAGCTGACTGTGTTCAGCAGGTCAGCGGTTCAAATCTCACCGGCTCAAGGTTGATTCAGCTTTCCATCCTTCCAGGGTAGGTAAAATGAGGACCCAGATTGTTGGGGGCAATGTAAATATATATATACATTGCTTACTGGTGTACACCGCTTAGAGAGTGCTTGCACTTAAAGCGGTATATAAGTCTTATAAATAAATAAATAAATAAATAAATAAATAATGGCTGCAAATAATTATGAATCAAGGCTTAACCCAATTTATGGTGTGATATTTTAGAACCATAAGAAAGGCTGAGCGCCAAAGAATTGAGGCCTTTGAACTATGGTGCTGGAGAAGACTCCTGCGAGTCCCTTGGACTGCAAGGCGTTCAAACCAGTCAGTCCTAGAGGAGATCAACCCCGACTGCTCTTTAGAAGGCCAGATCCTGAAGTTGAAACTCAAATACTTTGGCCACCTAGCGAGAAGGAAGGACTCACTGGAGAAGGGCCTAATGCTGAGAAAGATTGAGGGCAATAGAAGAAAGGGACGACAGAGAATGAGATGGCTGGATGGAGTCACTGAAGCAGTAGGTGTGAACTTAAATGGACTCCAGAAGATGGTAGAGGACAGGAAGACCTGGAGGAACGTTGTCCATGGGGTCGCGATGGGTCGGACACGACTTCGCAATTAACAACAACAAGAAGAAGTTTATAACCAGTCAGTACATTTGAATCAAGTTATAACCAGTCAAAACTGGTTAATTTTTGTAATAAGGTATAGTAAGTTGTCAGCAGCTTCTTTCTCATTTTGGTGCCATTCTCTCTCTTTCTCCCCCCCCCCTTGCCTAAACAATGGATGGCAGTGGTTTATAATACTACTTATTTAATCAAAAGACAGCAGTATCTATAACTGAAAAAAACAACAATAGAGAAACAGAGAGAGGGAAGTTATAATGTCAAAAGATTTCCTGGTGAGGAACATTTATCTTCCTTTGTCCATTTTGGATTTTGCTGGCTTAAACGGATACTTGCCATGGTTTAGAAAGCACACCATTTTATTTTAAAGTTATTTATTAAAAAAGAAAAAAGAAAACTTTTGGCAACCTTAAGAAAAAAGAAAATTCTTGCCAGACATGATTTTTTTTTATGTGCTTAAAACCTCTATTTAAAATAACCACTTGAGCTGAGCTTTATGCTCACAGTTTACTACTTCAATAGAACACCTAAAAGAAATTATAACCTTCTGATATACAGCGGGGTATCTTTTCTTTACCATGTAATATGCACAGGCAGGAGAAATTGCGCTATGCATGGCAGTTTGCTAAGGCAAAATTTATTGTAAGACTGTTTCTTTGAATATGTGATTAAGCCTTCTTGTTTTCTGCATAACACATCTAATGATGCAGGATGTGCATGATACCCATGTTTTAGTGAACTCAGAGACATGTACCCTGACGTATACTATGACATTCAATGCCTTAAGGCCTCAGTAATGTAATTCCCCTGTAATCTGCACTGACATTATTTTGCCAGCAGCATAACCCCATGCTAGCTCAGGAACTTAGCACACATAATAGTAAATCCTAGAACATGCAGAGAGGAAAAATAAAACTAAATAATATGCCTATGGGGGTGTTGTATTAGATGCCTTTATTATTCTATTTGATAGCACTGGTTATTAAAGCATCTGAGGATCTTCTGAACATGATGAAAACTCAGAGGAGTTTTGGAAGCAGCTTATGAGAAAGAAGAGTTTGCTTTCAAAAATAATAGCAGAAAAAGTTATAAAATCTGACATAACAACAGAACTGCAAACAAAAAGAGCAAAATGTTTCTAACTACATATATCTACCCTAGGTGATATAATATGTAAGTAGGTTACAACTTACATATATGAACACCAGAGGAAAGTCAGCTGTTTAAACAATATAGATATACTCTTTATGTAAAAAATAGAGATGATAGTTTTATTATACAGTTTAATCAGTACAATTAAATCAAATCAAGTATAGAATAAAAATGTTTTTCATTCTCACCCATATTTCTGGCAGTATAGTTTTAAAAACTGAGGAAATTTTACGTCTCCTTCCTCCAAATTTTGACTGTTGTGGGATAAAACCACAGACTAGCTACCTAATTATCAATCTGATTATTCTAACATATAAGAAACTTTATAGTTGTATAACATGTAATAATGATATTCATTAACATATAAATGGCAATGATGATAATGTTGCAATGGAGTTGAGATAGATGGTTTGATTCTCATGTATAGCATCATAATATTGTGAGTTGAGTATTGATGCTCTACATAAAGTGCTATTACAGTAAGCATGATGGCAGTTAGCCAACCAACAGCTGCCACTTATAATTAAAAAAGTGCATTTTTCCCTCCCACCAGAACAAATTAAATCTCTTTGACCCCTCCTAAAAATTGGCAGAACGCTTTTCCCTGATTTGCCCCTGAAATGGAGATATGAACTGGGAAAAGACATTTTGCAATAGTTGTAACAGTGAAATCTAAAAAGTTTATATACTCCATCATGAAGACCATAAGAAAAAGCTTAGCTGTATATTTATGGAAAATTAGGTTGTGAAACAGATGGGAATTTATTTAGTAATGATGCCAGGCCATGGCAAATCAAGTCTTTGCTGGTAAAGAAAAGACTGGGTTTCAGCTGGCTGATGCAACTTACTAGGAAAAAAAAAAAAAACAAATAAAACCTTTAAATGAGAATTACAGACAAGCTCTTAGAAACTGTGGGTCATTGACCAAAAGGTTACATAGAATTAGACGCAGAACTAGAAAAGATACTGGTTGTGAAATCATCTAGTTCTTTCTGAACCTAAAACTCAGAAAGCAGAATACAGCCTGCTTTCTATGAGAGTTGGCTATGCAGTTGTTTCTTAAGTACAATGAAAGATATGTCTATATGGTGATTATATTCCTGAAATCATGTAGATACAAGATTTTTAAAAAATCAAAAAGATTCTTTTGATTTTCAAAATCAAACTTAGGAATTTCCAAAACAAATATTCAAAAAAGACAAAATTGTTCAGAACATACTATTTTTTTTTCTCATGCAAGAGCCTCAATGACCAACCCTCTGGACTGATCTAACTAGATTTGAATAGACAATCTTTTAGGTACATTGCAACTCTGACAGCAGGAAACAATTGTAATTCTAATGAGATTTTGCTACATACATTATATGTATGTAGAATAATTACACAGTCTGGGTAATTACACACACTGTATATACATAGATATTTCTTAGGGATTTTCTGCAAGTACAAGGTCTGCTTTTTTCAGAGCAACTGAATGTCGATCCACTACTTGCAATAGGAATTAACTGAGCTGCTTATGGCCCAAGCCTTCTAGCCTGGTGTCTTAATCACTAAACCAACTACCAGTAGCTCCCAAATATAATCTATAATACTAGTGTTATATGATCACATGAACATTTTCTATGGAAAAATATTTTTAATAATGTTTCAACATTTCATCAATGCATTCTCAAGCATGCCGTTTTAATACATAATAGGCCTTCAAGCAGCCCAAACTGAAACCTTTTCAACTTTGTTTCCTATTTAAATGGAGTTTTTGAACCAAGATTTTTCAAACAAATACATGTTCTAGTATTGAATTCTGAATTATTCCAATTTTTAAATATTATAGATTTTTTTTAAAAAATGCTATTCTGTTTTTAAATAATGAGCTATTTTTATTATTAAGTAAAGGTAATATAGGATATTTTCTGCATATTCTAAACATATAAATGCACTATATAAATTTAGCTTTTAATATCAGAGATGTAATAATTAATTGTTGAGTATATCTGTTTTAATGAAATAATTCAATTTTTTCCCATTTCATGGCTATTTTTAAATAGTAAAAACTCTATGTGTTTGTCAGCATATGCATGCACACACACATACATAATTGCACATGGATGCACAAATACACAGAACTTCCAGGGGCTGCAAACATGAAGAAAGGGGGGAGTGTAAAGAATTACATAAGTCTCTTCTTGCTGGGAGTTTTCCTGCTCAGTGCCCCCTCTTCCAGCTGCTTTTCTTCATGAAGAGGAAAACACATAGTAGCTATTAAGCCTATATAGTGGATTATTTAGAATAACACATGTGAATCATTTATATCATCTCATTAGGATAAAGAACAGAAGGGATAAGTTTTGAAAAAAAAAATTGAAATCCTCCTGTACAGACCAGTGGAAGTCTAATTTATAAATGGTTTCCCACCACTCCGCCCCTCTCTCTATTCCCAGAGAGATTGCTTTCATGGAAGTATTTTCTTTTATCATGCATTCACTGGAGAGTTTCTTTTATGCTTGGCTGGACAATCAGGTATTCAGAACATAATGTAAATGCTGAGAAACACAGGCATGAAAAGTTGCCAGACAAAGAGTCTAAGTGAAGGATTAATATTTTCTCTTTTTTTCCAACTCCTTGTAGCAGTACACTCTTGTCTCTTTACAAACACCTTGTTAGCTACTGCCAAGGCTGACACCCACTGGTGACAGCAGGAAAGCCCACCAAGGCAAGCTAAAGTTAACCTAAACAGTATTGATTGTTCTGTCGCTAGCAATGAATATAAGGCAAAGTTTCTCAGCTCTGTGAAAGCTGTTAAAATGTTCAGCCTCTAGTGTGATATGAAAAACCGAGAGAGAGAGAGAGAGAGAGAGAGAGAGAGAGAGAGAGAGAGAGAGAGAGCGAGAGAGAGAGATAATTTTTTTTTCACCACTAACGCATCCACACACTAACTTCTAAATCCACAGCACTCACCACAATGATTGTAGTTCCTGTTCCAAGTGATGACGAAGGAACCTTTCTGCCTCCGGAGAGTGACAAAGCTTGGCTGTGATGCCTGCCTTAGCTTTTTGAGTTCACAAGGATCCACAGGGAGTGCCGAGGCAAACAAAAAACAAAACAAAACAAAAAAAAAAACACTTTAGGGAGGAAAGAGGTGGGAAGGAAAATCACTGGAGCCTCCTAACGATCAAACTTTTACTAACTAAAAGGAAATGTCTTGTAAATAAACAGAAAGAAAAACAAAACAAAAAATCCATCCCATCCTGCCATAAGAATGTAAATTATTGCCTCTTCATGGAGCATTTTACAGAACAGCAGAGAAACAGCCATGAGAGAGAGAGAGAGAGAGCAGCACTATAAAAAGAAAAAAAATGTTCAGAAATTCATGCAGTTTTCAAGAAGAAAAGCAAACAGCTCAAATTCAGCATAATCACTGCCTACTAAATTAAATTTCTTTAGCACTAATAATCACCTAAATGTTATATTTGAGGTTTACTAGGGATAGTATTCTAAGCTTTAAGCAGCTATGAATTTAAAGTCTAAAGGACATACTTAATCTAAAGACTGCAATATAATGATCTCTGTACAGACAATCTAGATAAACTCTTAGCTCTACTTTTGCACAGAGATACTGAACAGATCGGCACAAATTTTAAAGTACCAATTTTTCTAGATATATCCAGAGGAGGCTTCTTCCTAATTGTTTTAAAAGGGTCACTCTACATTTCAAATTATGCAAAGAAGGCATAGAATAAGTGACAAAAGATATAGAGAATACAGGGCTAGATACATTCGCAAACTAGGATAATGGAAGTCAGGATCCTCTCTGCAGGATTCCTACTGAGAGAGCTTGTAATCACAAGGAATATTTAACTGCACTTACAAGTTTGATTTTCATAGACAGCAAGCAGATATAACAGGATGACAGACCATAAGAACTCATGTAATCCCATAGTTTCCATAGCTGTTGGCCCTATCCTGGCTATTTAATTTTTCAGTCAGCCTGGCAGCCAAATACTGATCTAATTCTAAGCCATGGCAGAATTGCTGACCCCTCTGTTATCCATCAACAAAAGACATACTATGCTTGTCCCAAAGAAAAAAACATTGATTTTGACATGCCAAATTGCATAAAAAACAAGGTACTTAGAAAATGCCTGAAAGCACCAAAGGAAGTACCACATTACATAGTTACAATAAACTCATTTCCATGTTAGCTGCTGCATAGGTGTCTCTGTCTGTCTGTACAGTCAAGAATTGTCTAAAAATCCCTACAGCAGAAACCAAAATTCTGGTTCAAATCAACTAAAGAAATGGTATTGATAGAGCACATTTGAGTAAAAAATGGTAGAAATTAAAAGAAAATGAAACAAGGTTTTAAGATTTCTGCAGAAACAGCATAAATAAATCAACTTCAAAAGTAAAAAAAATATGAACTGTGGTAATGGAAAATCTTACTGCAATAGATTCTGCCAGACTTATTAATTGTACACAAAAGCATATGGCTTCTATGTGCTGTACAATCCCAAATTTCTCAACAGCCCAAGCGGTTATTGTAATGTTCTTATTGGCATCAAGCTACTAAGCCAACCGTATGGAATAACTTGACCTGAACAAGTTCAGAGTAAACTTATTTACCCACACTTGATTATTTCTCCAACGAAAAGTACCAGCCTATTCATTCTATTTCTGAATTGCTATCATCAGACAATGTCAGTATTTTTTAACATAAAAATGTCTACAGAAAACACTAAAACTGTGTAGGCTAAGAGATGCAAAATGGACCCATATCTGTACCTTTGCCAATTCTGCCAGTTCGAATTCAACCTTCTTAAGTCTGGATTACTTCTTTTTTCCTGCTTCCTTCTTTTCCTTAGCTATTTACATTATTGATTGTAAATTCTGAGATATTTGGTGGAGAATAACATTGTGAACAATATATAGTTTTTATTACCAGCAACATCATCATGTTTTACCCTGATTAAAATGCCAGGTATTAAAGAACCAGTAATTGATTAAAAGATAGAGCATTAATCATATTCAGTAACTTTACAGAGGATAAGTACATTTAAAAATCAGATCTGCTCAAAATGAAAAATCACAGTTTGGCGAGATTTCTCCCTACATTTCATTATTTAGAATTACTTATGCTTCAAAAAAAGACTTTGAACATTTAAGATATTGCTTTTTCATCAAACTTTCATTTGACATCACTTTGTTAATGTTTTTTCCCCACTGATTATCTTGGAAAAGTTACCTATGATACAATAAATACATGGGTCAATGAACCCACATATGAATATATACTTAAGCATCAGATCATTAAGAACTAATTAACTGGGCCTATTCGTTTCATCCTGAAAGACCAACTCAAGGGTCCAGCAGTAACAGTAATTTTTACTGAATTAAATCTAAAATCTATAGAAAGATGCATATATATTACAAAAAAGCCTAACCCTGACATTTATATACATTAAAGAAAAATATTTTTGTGCTTATATTACTTATATTTCTTACATTTATATTCTGCTCTTCTTTCAGGAGCTCAAGACAAATTACATACCATTCCTTTTTCTATACGTTCCCCGCATAACAAGTTGGTTGGGCTGAAACAGGGTAATTAGCTCCAAGTCAGTGAATGAGCTTCCATAACCCGATGGTGCACTTGAACCTAAGCATTCCTACTTCTAGTCCAACACCTTCAACTCATGGCTTTTTATATAGCTCTTATAAATTATCACTATGCTAACAAGTACAAAATGTACTGTTTTCCCTTGTTTTATAATGCTTTAATATTTAACTTAATGTACTGATATTTATTTTTTGTTACTTGAAGGGATCAGTTATGTAGGGTGTGATTCCAAAGATATGCAGTGCATACTCAGATGGGTAGACTAAGATCAGTTAAAGGATCAGAAGTAGTCACTAAAAGATATTTTATTTTGTTGCTTTGGATAATGTTGATCTTTTCCAATCCTAAAATACTAGCGGCTGGCATTGTGACCTCCTCCACTATGAGTAACTGATTTAGGATGATTATGTCTTATAAATATATTACCTAGATTCACACATCAAACTAAGGCATTGTTTGCTTCCCTATGTTATGTTAAGTAAACTACAATTAGCTGAGAGTTCTATGCCAAAATCGAATAGGCTACAATCTGGCTTACTGAAATACGTGAACTGAGCCACTGAATGAGAAATATCCTTTGGAAGCAGTAATCAGCAGAAGTTTTTTCCAAGCGCATAGGAAAGCAGATGGGATTGTCAGGGAAACTGAAGGCAGGATCAGAAATGAATAGTGTCCTTGAGGAAAGTTAAAGAGCTTCCAAAATTGGCAAATAAAGGAGAAGCAGGGGGAGGGAGGATATGAGTAAAAAAAAAAAAAACATTGTAGGAATATGCAGGAATTGTAGGAAGAAGGAATTTCATCATGCTAGCTGCATAATACAAATAATGCCATTCTTTCTAGTATCATCTATGTTGCCGTGGGCATGGCTACAACTCACAATGCAATAAGAGACAAGAGGCCCATCATGCTCCTCCAGTGTTCTGAATTTCCCAGATGTGCTCTTCTTTAAAGTTTTAATTTGGCAATGCAGCTTCTAAGTTTGTCTCTTAACAGGTCACAAATAACTTGGGATGAAGAATCTCATATTTCATTGTGTCCTGGTGGTGCCACTAAATATTTCATCTATCTTTAAAACAGCAGGGTGTTGTAAAGGTCCATATTTTCCTTCTCTCTGACATTGTTTACAGGTTGATTCTGGGAATTTGTTCCTCAGCATTAGACCAGTTTGTTCAAATCTAATAAAGCAAAAGTAATCAAATAGCCACCTTCAATACTGCTTATTCTTATGATATGTCCTGAGAGATTCATTTTGGGAACTTTTTTAATGGATTGAGATCAATGCATGCACTTATAACCAAAAAAATAGTTCTTAACTATCAGAAATTATCTGATACATAATTTAGAGCTGAAACTGGAAACTTTCAATGACAAAGATATGCACTGAAAAAAGAAGAGTGAGGCAATGACATTGGCATTGATGCTGATGGCATGCAAGAAGATGGCAATCAGAATTTACATGTCAATGTTATGTATTTTTTTATTTTAAAAAGATGCAGTGGGGCATATTGCACTAGTTCACATAACTATTTTATTCATTGTTTGCAAACATCCCAGCAAGACTATTTTGCCCTTTACTCTGATCATCCTTTTGCAACTAATAGGTCAATGTCTGAATTATAATATAATGCATTCATCCCCAAAGTTTAAAATAGATTTATCATGCTACCTTAATCATTAACAGCACTTTCCCTTTCACACACTGATCAATAAATGAGTCTCCTTCCTTCATAAATAGGGGGCTATAAGAATGATACATGTTAACACAAAAAGACTGCCATACACTCTATACTTTTTCCATAAAATTCTACAGGCAGGATAACACTAAGTCACAATTTTTTTATATATATTATTGTGAAACTTGTTTTGGTAGACAGATGGTTCTAGTAAGCTCTAAGACAGGGGTGTCAAACTGCTGGCCTGGGAAACCACGCCCACCCATTACCAGCAAAGGAGAAAAAGTTCTGATATGTTGCGCAATGTCACGTGACGTTGAGAGTTTGACATGTCTGCTCTAAGATAAAAGATTAAAAAGGTAGTGGTCCATCAATATAAGAAGTCCATGTCTAAAATCAGCTATATTAGCCAATCCAGCCTCTGGACATGACAAAAATGTCCATGCATATATCTGTTATGGGGTTATATTTACATAAAGTGAATGTTATATTTAGGTCTGTTCTATCCACTACCATCAAATTTAACATATAATAATACAAAATATGAAAGTTTGCAAGCAAGTTTTTTCTTTTCTTTCATTATAACCTACTGAAACACAGTTAAATAAAAAGCTTATGCATATACATATTTGCTTAAATAGAATAAGATACTCAAAATACAAAACAAGTAGAAAAACATGTAAGTATTTTTAATTAGTAGCATTATTGTGATAATTTAGAATTTCAAACATTTGCATTCTTATTGAAACATGCCTCTTA